CCCTTGTTTCCCCTTCTCTCCTATTTATTCGAAGAGTAAAAATTCTTTTACATTACTCAGCAAAAGACAGTGAAAGAAGTGATGAACCAATAAGAGTGACTCATTTGGCTTATAATAACATATTATTTCACCACTGTTGGTACCCCAGACTGGGATTTGCATTTGCTCAATATCTTGCATACATATATCTATGAAAGTAATGGTCTGAGAAAGAAAACAGAAAAGGGTTTCCTAGGCTCAATGAGGAGAGAGAGAGAGGGAGGGGGGGAACACAAAAATTAAAGATTGAAGTGAGTGAGGTAAATGGTGGCAGAGACAATGTACGACAATTGAGATAGCCAATGGGAGAGTTCTGAGTATTTGGCTTCTTCCATGCAATGGGAAGCGTAAAACTATTGCTGCTGCTGCTACAGCAGAAGCTGAAATGGACGGCTGTGATGTTCACAGACTTTCAGACAGAAAAGACTGAAAAATATAATATTTTTTTAATCACTTGAGATATTTTCTTAAAAAAGTTTGTGACTTTGTGTAGTTTGTGTTATGTACTTTTATGTTATGCATATGGGTCGCTTCATATTTGAGTCTTATGTGGGTTCATCGAGGGGGATATTTGAATGGGGCTTAGAGTATTAACCACTGTGAAATGGGTTCACCCCAAGTGGCAGAAAAAAAAATAGCCCTAGAAATAGTTGAACCAATCATAGAGTGGGATCCTGTGCCAGCGTGGCAGAGGCAACCAATCAGTGGCTCGAGGAAATTAAGGTATCAGAGAAAATGGTTTTCCTATTCTCTTTTGTTCCCAAATATTTTATTATTTTAATATTTTATTTTTATCACATCTAATCAGATTTTGATGGGAATGACAGACTAATGAGATCATTTGACGTTGCTTCCAAAGAGTTGCGTTTAAGGTTGAGTTAACTGAGAGAGTTGGATGATTTGACCCTCAACCAGAGGAACTTTTTTTCTGGATAATTAATCTCTATAATGTTCTTTCTAAGCTTAATTTCATGTTGAATTGAATAGTAAGATAAGATTGACATGACGCCTTCACTCCTACATGCTTTTCTTTCTATTTATATGTCCAAAACAATAAAATAGGATTAATCCTTGTATAAATCTGTAAAGTTTCATGCTTTGGGAAGCATTGACGACTAACCGTCAAAAAATGGTGAAAGATAAAGCACAGTAAATGAAATTAATAAGGTCGTAAAAGTTTAATTCTAAACTCTTTACACAATTAGTATTAGCATACAATTTCTTTGCTTATATTTAATTCTCCTTAGTAAAATTGATTCAATATACTCAGGTCAAGTCTTTGATACACCCTTGTCCAGACTTTGATTTCTTTAATCAGACGTAAATAATCAAGAATTTACTCCGACTTTGATGATTAGGTTGAATATTCTTTATGATTGTAACTATATTTAAAGCATTACAATCAACTAATAAAAACACTATTAATATAACTTTTAAATATTTATTATAAAAGTTAACATTATTTTACACTGATGTTGCAAAATCGTACATATGACATCATGACTATGTGAAATATTAATTAATCATACTTGATTTGACATTTTAGAAAAATTAGGAGTTTTAAATTAATCTCATTTCCCAATTATATATGTTTAATTCTGAGCAATATGCTATTGCGTATGGAACATTGGAATCTGGAAAGATGCTAGAGCAAGCATACTTTCATCAGGACTTTAATTTTATCTGGTTACAAATACATCTCCAATTTATGTTATTGAATAATTCTTATGGGGTTTCTAATAAATACTGAACTTATTGGTAACCCAATTTCTCCGAGAAATGAGAGGAGATTTTTCATAATTTAAAATAAAGAGATTTACTAAGAAAATAAGTTTGAAATGTAAAATTTGATATTTTATTTTCCTATTGTACCTTTTCTTTGTCTGAAGGAGGAATCTCAAGTTTCCATTTTTTTTGGTTTTCATTCCAATAATAGGGTTAATAGTAACAACTAACAAGACACATTATTAACTAAGACCGGACTTAAGAAGAATTCTCAATTTACATTCTCACAATGGTGTAGCAATTTTGGTCTTTGCATTTGTGGTATGAAGGAGGAGGTTTTATGGAGATGACAAATAAATTTAAATGTTCAATTTATGTTTTCTATATCTTCTCCTATTGTAAACGGGTTTATGGTACCCATTATACCAGATTAATAAATTTCTTTTACTGTTAAAAAAAAAAAACTAAGACCGGACTTATGATATAACCATTTGTTCCAAATCAATAAGTTGATATAAATTAAAGAAAGTGCACCAATTTAGCTCTATTTTGTGTACTGTTTTTGATTTTGGTTTTATACAGGCAATAGCCATTCCCACTGATGCAGATAAGTAATTATAGACAATAAGTTTAAACATGAGAAATTAAAAAGAAAATCTTATCAATTTCTGAGACTAAACACTCAAATTAAAGGTATTACTTTTAAAATGTTAATAAAAGAGTTCAATTTGAGGTCTGTTTTTCAGTTTTTCTCAATCTTTCCACTGTTCCTTACCATATTTAACCACTTCCTGAAATGTTTCATGAGAAGCCTATTCAATGGAGAAGTAGATGCATGCCAGTAGCTGAAAATAGGCTGTATCATATCATGTCTATTGTGATGCTTTTGGGGCTATACATAAGCTCGTGGCGTACAACTTATGATGATATATACTTTGAAGAATGCTATCAACTCAGTAACCTAGATCTTGATAAGATTTTAATAAAATTACAAAACCAATTTTTTGTCCTTTTTTGTTATTTCTTTTTTATCATTTCACTTGCAATTTTTTACATAATAACTCCCTTTCCAAGTAAATTAAAAAAGAAACTCTAATTGCTGAGTAGTAATTTTGTTGATACGTAACCACAAGAGTGATACATTCTAATGAATTTAACAATATTAAATGTTTTCTACATGATTATTGGAATTGAGACAGCATACAAACCCTTTATAAAATGCTTTTCCATTTAGCTTGCTAATAATTTTCAATGTGAACATGAGTTTAAATGATACTATTAATCGTTTCAGCGTCAAAGCAACGATTGAGAGGTACAAAAAAGCATGTTCAGATTCATCTGGTGCTGGATCTGCTTCTGAGGTTAATGCTCAGGTATTGCTTGATGTCTCTATATTTCTTTGGGGTGAGAAAAATATTGAATCTATCAATTTGACAATCTGCCAGTATCTTATAGCACCTAATGATATTCATTGTGATTCTATTACATAAACTAACATGTATAACCATGCATTATTTTATTCCAGTTTTACCAGCAAGAAGCAGATAAACTTCGTGCACAAATTAGTAACCTGCAGAATAACAACAGGCAAGTTGAATTGTCTTTTCTATTCGCTAGAATATAAGAAATTTCTCAATCACAAGAATTCAAAAAATAAATAAACATGAAGGGTTTCAATTGTTGATTGCAATTGGTATCATTTCAGCATCCTTGATTAAAAAAAAAATAATTAAATTGATTGCAGGCAAATGATGGGTGAGTCATTGGGCTCTATGAGTGCCAAGGAACTCAAAAACTTGGAGACTAAATTAGAAAAAGGAATTAGTAGGATTCGTTCAAAAAAGGTATGTGTTGTAATGAAAAATTTATTTCTATTAGTTTTGAAAGGATAGATGCTATGATTTATATTGTTAGCTTATAAACCTGCCTTTTTCTGATTTTTTTCGTTCTATTTTTGCTTCTGCTACTTTCCAAACATTAACATCAGAACGAGCTGCTATTTGCTGAAATTGAGTACATGCAGAAGAGGGTAAATACTTTTCCTATTTTTATGTTTTTGTTTTCTAAATTTATATATTTGTCTTTAACAGTAACCGGAACTTGATTGGTCCTGCTGAATCAATGATATTTAAAGGTTAATAATATATGAATATAGAATGTGATTATGTTCTAAGTGGCTTAGCAATTAGCATATTACAATTTAAGTGACTATCGGATTATCCTCATTGAACTCCTTCTGTGCTCCGTTCTGTTTGTTTTTCTGTTTCCTTTTGGTCATGTCTTTAGGTGTTCAAACTTAACAGTTCATGCAATTGTAATTATTGTGACTTTTATGTGAGTCACGTACACTGACCGAGAAATTCGATCAACAGCTTAGATCAAGTGAATACTATCCACCAATGAATACTTTGTACAGTTTAAATATTGATCCATTATATATAAAAGACATTGAATAATACTAATGTGGTTGTTCCATTTTTAGAGAAATGAAAAAGAACAAACTCATATTGCCAAAATGAGAAAGAAATAAAAAAGGAAGGAACAAAATGTGACCTGTGTCAACTATTAATTTGATGTATCATACGATTTGACAGGAACCTAAATTTGAAGGTTTTGGGAATGACTTTATTCAGATGATTAATTAATTAATTATTTTATGAAGATCTTAGTATAACTTTGGAGACAAAATCTCTTTCTTTAAGCCATTTGTAAGACTTCAGTCGGCTATATCCCTTAGTGTAAAACTAAAGAAAAGTAGAAAACTGTTTTTTAAGTGTATTGAGAATATTTAGTTCTTAGATAATTTTTTTGTATTTTTTTTATTTTTAACCTTAGCATCATAAAAATAAATGTAACTGTGGTCTATATGGCTATGGTTGAACCCAAGGTCACGTGGTGATTACGACAATTACAGAAAAGAAAAAAAAAAACAATAATTATAACACAATGTAGTTTACTAAGCTACAAAAACCACACTAGAAACATATAATTTGAGATTTTCACTCCTTTCTTAAATTTTAAGAAATTAGATTCAAACAAAATATTTATACAGTTGTGTGTACGTATTTTCTTGAGCCTTAATAAATCAATTTCAACACATGCAGTTCAATACAATCAATTTCGTAAGCAAATCTAATTTGATGTAATATTGTGAACAAAACGCATGTACTCTATTTGCATTTACATCTTTTGAATCTGATAAGGTATATTGTTCTGATAAAATAAATGAAAAAATAAAGTCTTTCTTCTTTGCATTTATCTCGGATTTGTTATCCCCTTCTTTCTTCCACAATACTGTTGACATTTAAACTTGATACATTTAATTAATTAGTAATGATATGTTCATATATCTGTAAAAGAAATTTAACTATGTTGATATTTAATAGATGCATTCAATATTTTGGTATTGTACATCTATGAAAATAGCCTCGTACAATACCAAGTCACGTGATAGAAGGTAAAATGAATTAAATTTATCTTTTTTAAGTTAAACCAATTTATACATCTCAATTTTTTCGTAAGCTCCTTCATTTATCTTTTTCATATATAAGTTAATATAGAAAAAGTTGGACTATTTTTACCTTTTTACTAATCTCATTTTATTTTTTCTCTTATATTAGTATCTGATGAGGAGTTATTCAAATTGACTCCAAATATGTTTTCTCTCCTCACTTTTTTTCTGTGCTTTCATTGCTGGTGTAATGTACAGAAGAAGCAATTAATTTTTGTTTTATTGCTCAAGGTTTAAAAAGAGTGTATTTTAGTAGTATGGTATATAGCCATATGATGGAATTAGAAGATAATAACTTATATACAAACTCAAATATGAAAACAGAATCCAAGTTGATGTGTTAATTTGAGTCCTAGATCCTAGATTGTTGTAAGGGAAGAGGACAAATGAAAGAAAAGGAAAGGCATGATTTTGGGGCAAAGGTTCTTGCTTCCCTTTCTCTTAAGCGGAACTACCTAACATGGTAGAAGATAATATCAAGTTTTTCAATGGCTTTCCTTTTCTCCCATTCCCCTCCAATAAAGTACTTGAGGCTTAGAAGTCTAGAATTACCATATAAGAAAAAATTATTTGAATGTCCAAAATTATTAAGTATCAATAATTTCAATCAATCTCAATATGATATGCATTTGAAAATTTCAATTTACAAGAAAAAAATAATAATATTTTATTACTTATTCTATAGAGATGTAGAGATGATGTGGTTGACGACCATTTGATAATCTCTTCCATATTGGTTTGCAAAACAATTTTCTAGACATTTTAGTCTATTTCAAAAAAGAAAAAACTCAAATAGTTGGACAACTTATATTGCCCTAACTACCAACCATACCCCAAAAGAAGTTGATTCTTATGGCTTTCAAAGTATCATAACTGAAATGTGCATTGCAGGAGATAGACTTGCACAACAACAACCAGCTTCTTCGAGCAAAGGTTTGCTTCTACCTCTTTCTGTCCTTTTTCTTACATGGTTTCTAAGTGCATTAACTTTTTGGTAGTATTATGTCTACTTAACCATGCTTTGTTGATGGGGTGGTGTAGATAGCTGAAAGTGAAAGGAGCCACCATAACATGGGTGTGTTGCCTGGAGACACAAACTATGACTCTATGCAGTCTCAGCAGCAATTTGACTCTCGTGGCTATTTCCAAGTCACTGGATTACAACCCAATAATCAGTATGCACGTCAAGATCAGATGTCCCTTCAATTAGTGTAAGCTTTTTCCCTTACCAATTTCACACTCATAACGTTTAAATCACTAGCTATTACACCTTTAAACAAAATTGCATATATCTTTTATGTTATTAATATTTTCATAGCAAAGGCAGATGAAGAATGAAGCGATTGTGTGAGCCTCCATAAATTGGTTTTATGCATTGATGCTAACTTGTCCCACTATAAGTTTGGATGAAAACAAGTTGCCCTACAATCAATTTTATGATGTGTTTGAATTTATTTAATTTGAAACTTAAAATGTTTAAATAGAACATGAAAAAAATAATTACTTGTCATAATAAGTTGTTGGCATACATATTATTAACATAATAACAATTCTATAGATGACAAACATACTTATTTTCTCAATTTTGGGTTTATACTTTAATAGAGAAAATAATATAATTATTTGATTAATATGTACATAACCTTATTTAGCATTTCTACCTACTGATGATTTTATGGACATCTGATTCACCAATATATTATACTAAGTTAACAAACCACTAATCTAACTAGAGCTTTTTTTGTTTGCAGATGATGTGTTTAGCATTGAGACTTGAGATGTTCTGCTACTTGTAGTTTGCCTTCTAGTATGATAGCAAATGAATGGTAAGGGTAATGTAATTAAGCAAAACTGTGTAGGGGATTTAAGCAACCTCTGATCATTACTATATAATATGGCTTTGTAGACTTTCTAAAGACTATTCTGTATCTATATATTGTGAAACGCTCACTGATATGTTAGTATGTGTCCTAAGAGTATGGAGAAGACACCTTGCATGTTTTTCAACCTTTCTTCACTTTCTATGTCACAGGTTTCCACATCTATTCACGAATTTTATTTCTCAAAAGAACAACAATAATAATTAAAAATGTCATTACTGGTGTTGTAGGTCATGTTAGTGAGGTATCAACTGGAGATAAACCAAAAGGTATTGTATAAATGGAAAATATCCTCTATATTTTAAAAATACATTTAGTAAAAAGGATTTTACTTGCTTAAAACAATTAATTCATTCATTGAACTGATAATATTTCAATACTAACTCTGACATAAACAAAATAACCTATCATTTCATAAGAGCAATCCCCACATCTCATTTGTCTTTTTCTTTTATTTTGAGGTAGGGAAAATGAAATAAGATTTTTTAGATGAATCTGGTTCTTTATATATATATATATAGTAACCACTTCTATCATTTGATTTGACATTTTATCCTTTTTCAAATTGACATCAAATGCAAAGCTTTCTGTCAAGTTGTGAATTTAAATTGCTTTAAATATGTTTTAGTTTTCGTAAGATATATTCACTTTTTAGTTAGTTTTTTTAATTTTAAATAATGTCTGCAATATTTAATTTGTTAGTCTATGTCTTTACTTAGTCACCTTTAAGTTTAACTGCTAAGAAAGTTAAAGAGTTATGGACTAAAAAAAAAAAAAAAAGATTTACTGATAAACTAAAATAAAAATGAAGTGTATTTACTTAAACTAAACTAAAATATGTATATAGTAATGTTTCAGTTCGTGATAGGTTAAAATAGAGCTATTAAACTGGCTGTCCGACCCGCTTTTTATATGCATTATGTTTTTGCTGATAAGGCTAGATTAAGTCAATTTTTAATTAATTTTATATGTATTATAAGAAAAAAAATAAAAAATATCAAACCAAATAAATCCAATATTCTTTTACCTGAATTTTACTAGTAGAGCCAAACTTGTTTGGTCAAGTTCTTTCTGCAACTCAAAATAAAGAACCTAACCTAGTATAGCCCATGAGATTATCAGATTGAACTACTTTTTTTATCAGTAGAAAAATTGCAAAGACTGACTGTAGTTATATTCTTAATTAATAGAAACCAAGTAATAGTAGAAACCACTGCTAAAAAAAATAAATATTTTATGAATATATTCAAAAATCATCTTGCGATTATGTGTGGGCATGATTTACCAACTAAGAAATTTTGCCAAAATTAAATAGATTCACAAACCTTATATCAAAGAAAAATAAATCATTGAATGAGAGTTGCAAATTGGTTAACTGTCCGTGCAAGAAAACTAGTCATAAGATTTTTGAGGTTGAAGGTTTGTAATTATAATTTTTTTACATTAGTATATAATGCTACTAATTTTACCAACATGACACCTTATTTTACTTAAAAAAAATTATTATATAGTGACACATATCTTATAATGATATATTATGTTATTAAAATTATTTTTACCTACACTATACATATAATAAATATTGATATATTGTTAAAAAAATATAAATATAATTTATAGCAACATAATATATATTATTGAATCCCATTCAAAATTAATATTAAAATTGTGTATAATCATTTATCAAATAAATTTATATATACATATATTACATTTATAATGACATTTTTAACATCTCACTGTATATAATATTTATTATAATATTCCATTATAATTTCATCACACAAATAAATACCATTATGCTTATATCCAAATTTTACAATGAAATTACTATTATAACGTAGGTAAGGGGTTGAGACTTGCAGTCTGACCTATTTGACTCATTAATTGAATAGATTATAGAATTAGATTTTTTTATAAAAAATATTTTTTTTTGGTAAAAAGGCTAGACCATATATCTTAAAAAACCTATTATTAAAACTAATAGGCTAACTTATTTATACACTTAATATATTATTATATTATATTTTGTTATATTATATAAATATAATTATATATAATACATATATTCCAAATAATAACATAAAAAATAATTATTAACAGGTAGTTAGACTAATAAACCTACTAACCTTTTTAAAATTCATATAACAAAATAGATTTCTAAACAAATTTACAAGTTTGGTAAAAAATTTATGTAGGCTAAAGAAACAGGGTCGGACATGACATTTCATTGATGGTGAATTCTCTGAAGGACCACTTTCACAAGTGGTCCATGGGTGCATCATCAATTTTCACCCTTAGATGCATCTAAACTAGTAGACCATAATACACCTTACCACACTGGATCTAAATTTTCGATTTTTTTACTGATTTTTTTTTTAAATTACCCAAAAAAAAAAACACGTGGCAACAGGCGCAGCTGCTACTGACACTCGGAACGGGCCGTTCTGAAATCAGAACGGGCCGTTCCAAATGAATAAATAACACATAAATATTGGACCAGAACGGGCCGTTCCAGATGACAAAAAAACACATGAAGAATGGAACGGAACGGCCCGTTCCAACATCAGAACGGCCCGTTCCGAATTCAAAAATGACACATCAATAATTAAATCAGAACGGGCCGTTCTGAAAACGGAACGGCTCGTTCTAACTACAAATTTGTCACACGAATTTTTTAAAGCAAAATAATATATTTTTTT